AAGGATAGAAGCCTAACCAGGTTGTTCCATTGGGGCCAAGTCTACAAATGATACACTCATGGAACGAAGAAAGCTGACCTGACAAAGGAGATCAGAATATAATCTTTTTTACTTTATCTTACAATTATCCCAGTCTTATTAGAGTAGTTATGTCTCTATTTCTTCTGTAACTTAGCAAGTAGATTCTTTTCAGTTTATTTTTCAATTTAAATTTGTAGTTCTGCTTTTAGGTAGCTATTCTTCAGTTGTAACTGATGATAGAGAACTTTTTCAGAAAAGAAAAGAAAAAAATTAGAATTTATCCATCAAAAGTTAGTTTTCTCCTGAACTCTAAAATCCTAGGATTCTCTCCAGAAAGCCCTCAACACACTATCAAAATAGGTAAAACAGGAAGAAAAGCTTTCAAGCTCTCTTTATCCAGTTTCTAGATCCATAACCAGATCATTCACCTGAGACTAACAGAATGGAATAGGAGCCAGTAGTTATGGATGATTTCATGCTTAAATCAGCAATTCAACTTCTTCATGCACATATTTCAGGGAGATTGAGCAGCTTTGCATGTGAAACAACAAGTTACGGCAGATCAGTCAAGAGTAACTCACACAGCATTTGTCTGTCATTAGAGTTGAAGGTTGTTATATTGCTGAAGGCCGTATGAACCATGGACATCAAGATCATAAGGATGCTAATAACACTAGAAAAGAGAAGATGTCATGGAAAACAAATATTTCCAAAATTTTCAACATTGATTTTCCTCGGTTTGACAATCAGTTGACTGTTTGAGGTAACATACTTGATGAGCCCACCTCTTTCACCACCAAGGAACTAATGAGGAATGCAAAAAAAGATGTGGAACATGTAGCTGAAAACTTGGACAATAAATAGAAAATGACTCAAGCCCCTGTTTTGAGACATCTTGATTTTCTAAGGCTTTTGAAGTCACTTGTGATGCTTCTAGCATCCTAAATGTTGGAACTTTAAATCCAAAATGACACCTGATAGCATTCTTTAGTGAGCAACTCAATGGAACCAAGCAAAAATATTATGCTTATGATAAGAAGCTTTGTGTTGTGGTCCAATCTCTGTCACTAGAGGTATTATCTTCCCCATCAAGAATTTGTTCTATATTTTGATCGCTTAGCATTGCGACACTTAAGTTCTCACAAGAAATTAAAATCAATGAATGCTAGGTGAATTAAATTTTGATGGGGGTACACATTTGTTCTTAAACATCAATCTGAACGTTGAGAATAAGGTGGTTGATGCCCTTAGTCAAGTGTCCATACTTTTCCAAAGCATGAGCACTCTAGTGATTTTTTTTTTGACAGATTGAAAGATAAATACTCCACTGATCTGGATTTTGAATTAATCTATCAGCAGATTCAGGAGGTAGTCACTGGCACCATGTGGATTTTGTTATTCATGATAGTTAGCTCTTTAGAACCAGTCAAATAGGTATACCTCGTACCTCTCTTGGGAACTTTTTAGTGTGGGAAACATATGTTTGCATCTCGCAGGTCAGTTGGGACATGATAAGACCGTCGGTCTCGTTGAAGATAGGTCCCATTGGCCTTCTTTAAAACAAGATGTTTCCATATGGTGTCTCAATGTTATACTTGTCAACCAGAAAAAGCAAAGAAAGAGTATAGAGG